TGAAGAAAGGAGAAATGAGTAAACCAGTTTCTGGCATTGAACACAGAAGGACTAAATGGAAATCAGTGAGAAGGCTGATGCGCTAGCCCTGGTAAGACAAAGTAATGCCGCATCTAGTAGGCAATGGTTTAGAGAAAATGAAGTGCTGTGGCAAAGGAGAGAATGAATGTGGAAAACATTTGGGATGAAATTATTTCTGTATGACTTGCTAAGTGATTAGTTCTAGTTTTTGTGCTGCCAAAACTTTAGACTATTTTGTAAGACTCTCATTAAGAAGAATGTAAAATTGTCAATGAAAAATTTGATATACACTTAATATTTATTTCTAATAAAAATAAATCGCAATGAATTAGAAGTTGTTATAAGACAAATTCCACAAATATTACAAATTCCAGAAAAACAACATAATATTTTTATTAATTAACTTCCTGACACATGTCTATAAAAGTTTTTTTTTACAGTTTTTGACTGCAGATGCTAGATCACGTCTTCGTATGAAAGAAAATTCTGAAATATATTATTTTTATTGATAAAAAGATAATTCACTCTTTTCTAGCACAGTTGATCAATCTTTTAAAATAGATATTTTAGAAAAGTTTCTTTCACTTTCATAATTCATTGATAATGCCACATACCTTTTAATGACTTATCAAACTTGAGAATACATTTATTATACTTTTTTTCTTGTGTGACGTCAAATCAAAAATTGAACCCATTCCGAAACCGGTTTGGCTCAGTGGATAGAGCGTCGGCCTGCAGACTGAAGGGTTCCAGGTTCGATTCCGGTCAAGGGCATATACCTGGGTTGCGGGCACATCCCCAGTGGGAGATGTGCAAGAGGCAGCTGATCGATGTTTCTCTCTCATCGATGTTTCTAACTCTCTATCTCTCTCCCTTCCTCTCTGTAAAAAATCAATAAAATATATTTTTAAAAAAATTGAACCCAATGAAGTTAAACGGTTAAGGAAGACTTCATTTAAGGCCATTGCAATAGGGAAGAGAGGCAAGCTGGAGCTCAACTCCCCTGAAACAAGGGCTGGGATAAGATAGAAAAAAAATGTACATGAGGACATTAGGGGGAAGGATGAGCAATAGGACATGCTCAGCATATTGAGTTTGTACAAGTCTTCTGCGACTAGCCATCTGTGTTTGCTAATTGACATCCATCAAAATTAGTCTCCTACCCTCCTGCCAGGACTGGGAGATAGGGTTGCTATCTTTTTAATACTTACATTTCAAAGGGATGGCTTTCAAGTACTTGAGAAAGACATTAGCGGCTTATAAAACTGGTAAGAGGCATCATTTTAAAAGATTTACATCTCAAAAGGGTAGAGAAGAAATGTGCAATTATACAGTTTCTAAAGAAAATACTCTAAAAATAAAAAAGGGAGGTCAGGACCTGGAGTCAAGAACAGAAGCCTGTGTAAAGCTTAGTCAAACTGAGGGAAGCTACTAAGCTCTCTTGGTCAGTGAATAATAACATCTCACTCTTTTCGAGTTTGCCTGTGAAGGGACTTCTTAAATGCTCTTTGAATCGAAGACATGTATTAAGCTGTTTATCCTTGATAGCAACATTGTAGTGGCATTTTATAATGTTATAGAATCTCTGTTGGTATCCATATTAACTTCAAATCAATTAATTCCAACATTTATTAAATTATCAAAAATGATCTCAATAGCCTCTGTATTACTTCTATTTGAAATGTTTCTGTTTTTCTTATTCAGTGATTACTTTTGGTATCATCTAGAAAAAAAGTCTTCACAATTTGTCAGTCCAGTCAGAATAATTTTTACTCCTATTCTTGCAAATGTTATAAAAACCTAAGATCAGGTGAGCACTTGACCAGGGCTCCTCCCAAGAAAGCTGAGGCCAGTGAGTGTGCCCAAAGCTTAGGTATCTTTATCTTCAAGTTAAGTCATCCCTGCCATTGGGTGAGGCACTGCGAAGAAAGGAATGGAAGAGAGAGAAGAGCCCAGGATGCTGCAGAGATTTTTACACCCCTTTCTTGTAAGGGCTTTTCCTTCCACAGTTCCAGGATCCGAAGGAGACTCACTAACAATGCAGTTGTGCAGTAGCAATAGCTTCCCCCTACTCAAAATCTCCCCTTTGCCCAAGGGCCAAAAACTACTGATTTTGTGTGGCTCATGCGCTAAGATTGGATTTTAGATTTTTTAAATTGTTAAAACAATCAAAAGAAGACTATTATTTGTGGGACATAAAAATGATATGAAATTCAAATTTCAATGTCCATACATAAAATGTTATTAAAAAAAAACACCCAGCCCCATTTGTTTATATATTGTCTATGGGAGATACTATGCTACAACACAGAATTTAATAGCTGTGACAAAGGCTACACGCTGAAAATATTTACTATCTGGATCTAGTTTTTCTTATCAACTAGTTAAATCTACACTTTTGATAACTGATAATACTTAGTATTTTTGTTATTGATTTTATCCCTACCAAGTGCCAGACATGGAGTCCTTATCCAAAGCAAAAAACTGAATAATATGGCAGTTTCTGACTCTGTGGCGGGCACTTTAGGGGAAACAGTCTTTAATCACCCAGTCTTTTATTCTTCAAATCACACCACACAGGCAAAGGGCCTCCTCTGCTCCTGCAAAGGTAATCGCACTCAAGTTGAATAGAAATATAGAAGTTAAAATTAAATTTCAAGCTGTCCTGCTGTTTAAAGGATCTCTATAAAAATTTAATCAGCAGTGCACTTTTAATTTCACGTTATCTGATATTGTTTGAGATTTTGTGACAAGCCTGGCAGTGTTCTCCACAGTTTTCTATTTATCTTGAATGTAAAATTTTCCAGCTGGTTACTGAAGACCTAGGTCGGAACCACATGTGTGATCTGTAACAATCAGGGTTTTGTTCAGCGTCATGAAACAGAAACTCAAACAAACTTAACTAAACAAGATTTTTTTCTCCATGTAACCTAAGGACAGAGGTAATAGAAACCCAGGGCTACTGTAGTTGCTCAGAATTGTAATTTTTTGAAAGGGTGGGCAGACATGGCAAGGTTGAGGTGTGGGGACTCCTAGCTTCTTGCTCCAGACACTACTGTTACCATTTATTTAGCTGTTCATCTTATAGCCACAGGATGACTGCTTTACCTTCTAGGATCTAGTCTACATTTAAGGTGGGCAAAAGGAAAACACAAAGAGCAAATGGGAAAAACAAAAACAAAAAACTAACAAAGACTTACGTGGCAAACAGTAACACAGCAAACACTGCCTGCCACACACGCTTTTGAATCTTTCCAAATAAGAATTCATTGATAATAGGCTGAGTTCACCCTCTGACCTAAACCAGGCTACATGGCCATTCCTAGAGGCAAAGAGGTCTGGGAAAGTGGGCATCTTATAATGGACACATTTGACTCATGCGACTCCATTAGTAAGGAAGAGTGGAAGAATGGATATAGAGCAGACAACCGGAATGGTTGGTCCCATGTATATAGCAGGGCCAGTGGTTTGGGCCAGAGCATGGTTGACTAGGGTCACGCCAGCTGTCTTGATGATTTGTACCAATCACAGAGGTCAGTTGAAGAGGTCAGAGATATGACAACAACACATTTTCTTTTATAATCATTGAATAATTAACTTTACTATGGACTAAACTGATGATTATAATAGCTCTTTTATTTTTTTTTAATTTTGATTGAGAGCCACTGATTCACATGTACTAGTACGGGGAGAATAAAAGGTTAATAAAGGACAGTATAAGCCAGGTCCTCTCCTGGGAAGGTATGATGGAAATGGAAAAGAAAAATTTTATACCGTCAACTCAACAGTATTTTTCAGTTGTTTTATAGGAGAGTCTTATCCACTGAACAAGTGCAAACTTCTGAAAAGCAAGGTTCATTTATTAGATTGCTTTATTGCCTCCATAAGGGTTAACACAGAAGCAATATTCAAACTGTGCTCACGAATGTGTAAACCTGATAAATTTTCACTTTATTCAGAAAATTGAAATTTCAACTTAGGAACAATTCAACTCAATTAATATTCAGTTCACTTCATCAAGATCAGTAATTTCAAGGGAATAAGAGTTCTCTACTCCATAAATCCACCTTGTATGTGAAAACACTAAAAAAAGTTTCACTTTTGCCAGTATCTTCAAAATGTATTTTAGTATATACAGAATATTAATGTAGGCAGAGACATTTACTATAATTTACTCCTACCCCCATATATTTTTTATTGTAATTTTTGGTTAGAAATTTGAGACTCAGAATGGTGGGACTATCTACCTATAAAGTTCATGCATGAGACTGATATTTTCACTCAATGTTTTTCATCCACACAACTTTACCCTTGTGTTTATTAGCAAAACTTCTTATTCCTATCATCTTCAAATCCCTATGAAGAGGTCGGTCCAATACCAACACAGAATCAAGGGGAAGCATTAGTGTTTTGTTGTTGTTGCCCGATATTTTATACTTTTTTTAGCCTAAAACATAAACATAAGTTAAAAGCAATAGATCCTTTCAGATTGTGAAGTCTGTACATGTTACCAAAAGGAAAATGCTTTTTGAAATGGTTTTTGAAAAAACAGCAGCTGTCCCCACTTCCATAGGTGGGAGAAGTATTAAAAACACACACACACACACACACACACACTACAATTTATTTCTGGGGAGGTGGGCTGGTGTGTGTGGGTAGAGAGATGGGTTATATTTTCTCTTTCTGACTCATATTGTCATGAATCAGTACTGTCGCAATTCAGTTGCCTGCTCTCTTTCTACAGCACATACTTCTCTGCATACTTTCTCATTCATCACAGAGAGCCAGTGTGACTTACTGAAAGAATGTAACTTTGGTGTCAAAGAGGCCTTATTTTGAGACACTGCTATGTCACATACCAGCTCTATAATCTTGGATAAGTCATTGATATTCTTGAACCTTGATTTCTATGAAATGGGGACAATAACTGATAGTGAACATTTATTTCCAATCTCCTATTTTGTGTTTTCTTTGGACAGAGGGAAAGATTCATAAAACTACTAGACCAGTTGCACAACTCGTTAAGGATTGACCTGTCAAAGTATAGGGTATGTACAAAATGATTTGACTAAAAGTAAAATATTGTGCTTGGCTCAGATGATTTCTTGTCATATTGTAAAAAGATATTCATTATGTAAGGGAAAAGCAAAAAAAAAAAATCCTGATTATGAGATCTCATTTCCTGTCACATTAGAAGGGTCTGCTAAATAAGCAAGCATTTGTCCCTTGGTCATGTACCCGTCCTAGCCTCACATAAGCCTACAGCAATACTGTGTGTGTAGCTTAATTTTATGATTCTTTCAATAACCATCAGATTGAGTGGCTGTCAGCTAATTTATGGAGTGGATATATGGCCCAGTCCTCACCTTGAAAACTCATTCCTTGTTTCTGAGATATCCTGCTAATATTTCCCTAACTTTTGAGATACTTGCTGCTTAAGGCATTCCTTCTGGATCAGTACAATGTGATCTTTAAGCTGTACAGAGTTCATTGTCAACAATTCTATACTGCCTCTCCAGGTAAAACACACACAAAAATATATATATAGTTTTAGTTATAAAAATAATTACAATTGTTATTCACATAAAAACTATAGTAATAATGATTGCATTCTTTATTTAGCAGTTCACCCTAAACATCTTTTTATACCTGCACACATGTATTTCTCCTGTATTCAACTTTCAGTCCCTTATTGATGGACATCTTAATTGCATATTTCTAGAAATTATAATACCAAAGGGTCAAACTCACCCTTTATCTTGGAACTGGGGCCAACACTATGAGAAGAGAACTGCCGCGCCAGGCAATGAAAAGATATTTGAGGGTAAACAGAGACTTGAGTTCACTCATTCACCATCATTCAGACACCCCAACTCAGTTCCAGTTCACTAATAGCTAGAAGTTACCTATGATTTTTCCAGATAGCCATATAAGAAGCTAATCTGAAAACATCTCCACTTTTGTTGACATATCTCACCAAATCTCACTGATAGAAACTTTTTGTTAAAATCCAAAGTACTTTAAGGAGAGACTTTGCAGTACAGTCTAATTTTTGTTAATAAAGTTTCTTTGTGATTAAAAGTCAATGTAGCACATGTAAATATTCCCAAAGTATTTTTGAAAAAATTACCTACATTGAGAAAATTGCAAATATTTTCAGGTATATGCTGTCTCCCCCTCTTTTAGTAGCAATGCTATTAAATAACAAGGAATAATATTGCATTCATAATATCATTTTGTATATTTTTATTGCATTATGGGAATAAATAAAAAGATATAGCTTCCTAAGACTAAGAAGAGTATATTTCCAAATTGTTTACTTTCTGTGATGTTTCACATTAATGCTGATAATTTACCCATTTTCTGTTTCCTAATTGACCAGGAAAACTTTCCTGCTGGCAATGCTGAAAGATTGCAAGACCTGAAATCAACTGTGGACTTGCTAACAAGTATCACCTTTTTTAGACTGAAGGTACCTTATTTTATTTCTGTCACTGACTTAGTGAGATATAACACATTTATTCTCTGGTTAAAGTCTGGTTTTGCCTTTCATTTTGATTGAAATATAGTTTATATACAATGTTATAACAGTTTCTGGTGTACAACATAGCGGTTCGATATGTATATACATTATGAAGTGATCACCTTGATAAGTCTAATTTCCTTCTGTCACCATACAGTTACTGCAGCATTATTGATTATATTCTCTATACTGTTCATTACTTCCCTGTGACTTATTTATTTTATAATTGGACATTGGTACTCCTAATCCCCTTTACCCATTTTACCCATTTCCCCACCGCATCCCTCTGGCAACCACTAGTTGGTTCTCCATCTATGAGTCTGTTCCTATTTTGTTTTGGTTGATCATTTGTTTTGTTTTTTAGATTTCACACATAAGTGAAATCATATGGTATTTGTCTTTCTCTTTCTTATTTTGCTTAGCATAATACCCTCCAGTTTCATCTATGTTGTTGAAAATTGCAAGACATTATTCTTTTTATGGCTAATATTTCAGTGCACACGTGTGTGTGTGTGTGTGTGTGTGTGTGTGTGTGTGTGTGTGTGTGACATTGTCTTTATCCATTCCGCTATCTGTGGACACATAGGTTGCTTCAATATTTTGGATATTGTAAAAGGTCCTATATAATAAAAGGGTAATATGCAAAACAGCGGAACAACCAGTCAGGCTAAAACCTTCGGATCTGACTCCTCTCTTCCTCTCACATCAATCATATAACGACAGCAAATCCTGCTGTTCATTTCAAAATTAACCCAGATAGGATTTTTTATAACAGCCAGCTTTTAGCTTACCACTGTAGTCCAAGCACTGTCTTCTCTTAACTGGATTACAGCACTATTCACATCACTGGTCTTCTCTTATTCTATAGCCCACCTTAAGACAGCATAAGGGAACCTTTTAAAGGATAAGGTAATTTTGCTCTTCTACTCAAAGAGTCCAATTTCTTTCCGCCTTGATCAAAGTTAAGGTTCTTACAATAGCATATATATAGTTTTTCTCCAGTTCCATCCTCTTATTTCTCTGAGTTCATACACTATTGCTATCCTCTGTATTTATTCTACTCCATTGAGATACCTCTTATTGTCTCTTCTCTATTTTTTCTTCTCAACATGCATCATCGTTTCTGTTGTTCATTGCAATATAACCATTATCTAGCATATAATAGGTGATAAATATTTGTCAAATGATTGATCTATATATATAAAAGACTAAAATGCTAAGTGTCCATCCAGGTAATGACCTCCCAGAGCAAAGCCTGGCTTCCTCTCCCTAGCTACTAGCCTCCTTGCAGTTTCTTCAGTCCAGGAACATGACTTGCTTTATAGCCAGGTGGAAACATTTCAAAGTTTAACCAAATGTCTATGAAGCGTTTTCCTCTGCCTCATCTTACTTGATCCTCACAGAAGTTCTGGAGTAGGTAGACAGGAGACTCAGCAGGATCCTACTTTCTTCTCATTAGCCAGAAAATGGAGATTTAAAAAGCTTAGAAACTTGACCCAACTGAAAAGAAGTAAGAAATCGTGGAACTTGAAAATAGCTTCAAGTTTTCTCATTGTGCAGACTACAGTCAAACACTCCTACAGTTAAATATTTTACCCTTTGTTCTGCCTGCGTGATTTATAATAATAATCTGCTTTGTGTTGATATTTACTGCTGTGTTGCTGACAATTAAATACATGTTTGTTCTTCTATTTATTTTTAAATATATATTATTGAATTTTAAAGAGAGAGAGGAAGGAAGAGGGACAGAGAGATTAAAACATCAATGAGAGAGAAACATCATTGATTGGCTGCCTCCTGCACACCCCCTACAGAGGGGGATTGAGCCTGCAACCCGGGCATTTTCCCTTGGCCGGAATCGAACCTGGGACCCTGTAGTCTGCAGGCCAACGCTCTATCCACTGGGTCAAACCAGTTAGGGCTGAAAGGAATTTTTGTTTCTGTTGTTCATTGCAATATAACCATTATCTGGCATATAATAGGTGATAAATATTTGTCAAAGGACCCCCTACAGAGGAGGATTGAGCCTGCAACCCGGGCATTTTCCCTTGGCCGGAATCGAACCTGGGACCCTGTAGTCTGCAGGCCAACGCTCTATCCACTGGGTCAAACCAGTTAGGGCTGAAAGGAATTTTTGTTTCTGTTGTTCATTGCAATATAACCATTATCTAGCATATAATAGGTGATAAATATTTGTCAAATGATTGAAATAAATAAATAAATAAATAAATAATAATGTGATTGGTTACATCTAGTGTTTCTATTTGAATATTTAAAACTATGAACATTTTCAATGAGTTGTCATATTAGATAAAGGGGATATTTACTCATTTGTAACATTTCTATGACTACATTTTTCCTGAACATAGAAAAATCAACTAAAAGCCTTTATTGAAATGGTTTGAGTTGTTTATGCTAGATTGCAATGTTCCATTTTTCAATTTAAGAAAACAATTTCTCTGTCAGGTTCTGGAGCTGCAAAACCCCCCAAAAGCCAGCATGGTGGTAAAGGACTGTGTCAGAGCTTGCCTGGATGCTACGTACAAGTACATTTTTGATAATTGCCACGAACTCTATTCCCAGCTGATAGACCCGGTAAGAAGAGATGTGTGTCTCTGTTTCAAAGTCTGTTTCCATAAGTTCAGAATGACAATACATGGGAAAGTATGTTCATTTCATTTCAATTACCTAGAGGTTTTAAGAATTTTCATATATTTTTCTTTATATTTGAACATCACTTTTTATATACATAAAAAAATTCACTTCTTACAATAACTTTATGTAGTAAAGGTGGACTTATTGTTCAAGTTTTCAGGTGAGAAGTCAGTTTTAGAAGAATTAAGTTATTTACTCAGGGTCATACAGTGGGCAATTGGCAGATTTGGGACTAGATTTAGAATTCTAACTCCTCCTCATATGTTTTTCCCTTAGTTCATACTGCCTCCCTTATTACACTTTCTCATAAAAATCATAGATGGAGAAATGTTTATAGAATTCAATGGTAAAATTGTCATACATATTTTGTAAATTCATTTTAAGAAATATTTTATAAATATAAAAGGAAATACAAAGAGTAAGTCAAACATGCATATATTTACCACTTAGATAACCACATGTTAATATTTAGCGATATTCACTCTGCTTTTTATAATTTAAAGGTATTAAATTACACAAGAAATGGCAATGCACTTTGCAGTTCTTCCAAATTTCATTCCCCTCTCTTCCTCATCCTTAAGAGATGAACACTATTTTAATATTGGTCTTTGAACATCTTTCCATATATGCTCAATGAACACTTCAGATTTATTTTCTGTGAATCACCTATTAATCTTTTGCTGTTTTTTTCTTTTGACTAGCTTATATTTTACTTATTAACTTGTAGAAAATTTTAAAACATATTCTAAATATTGTTTGTTGATTATGATATTTCATATATTATTTCCTTCTTTAGATGTGATTATCTTTGGGTTGCATTGAAGTTTTCTAACACATGCTATGATTTATACATTGCTATTGCTTCTAAAAAACTAGTGTTAGAGGGTGGCTTTTTAACATATATCTATTGCCTACTTCCCCAAAGAATGCAGTTTTTCCACTAGGTATAAAAGTTGTACAATTATATGTGAACTTCCTGGTTAATTGAGTGGGGCAGATCTAGAAAGCACATGTTGTATGAAGGTGAGTGGTAGGCTTTTTATGGTGTATCTATGAAAAGATCCCTCAATATTTCTGGTGTCATTGATTCCTTAGCCTAATAGGAGAGAAAAATAAAGCTGATGTTTGTCAATATATAAACAAAACAATATATAAACACATAATTGCTTATAACTTTAGTTTGTCATTCATGCTAGATGAGCTCTAGTTTAGAAACTTGGTTCTCTGAGATCTCTATGGATTAAATTGTCTTTCACTTATATGCCCCCATTGGGTGACTTTCTACTGGCTTTCCTTCGTCTGTTTTCTACTTTCCATCTTCCATTGGAGGATTTTTCAATTGTTCTTTTACGTTTTTGCATCATTATCTTTATTTCACCTAAAATATACAATTGAAACTTTTATTATACCTTATAAGTTACCCACATATAACTTAATGATCAACCTTACCAGACCTTACTAATTCTAATTTCTTACTCCTTGCAACTCCAAACCCAAACTGATCCCTTTCATGGGCCCTAAGTCTATAATTACTATAAGTTCATATCCATGCATTTATGTTTCCTGTTCTATATGCCTAAAATGTCCTTCTTCCGTTCTCTGCCTTCATTATAACCAAACTTAAACATGACCTCATTCTGCTAAATTGTACCCAGAGAATGAATCAAATCAAGGTAAAGTGGCATACTTTATTTAGTGTCTTTCTAATATAATAATAATTAATAACAATAAACAGTTTTATTTATATGAGAGATATAGAAATAAGGGAGTTCCCATAAAGCAAACATGCCCCTAACAAAAAGCCAATAAATTGCTATATCAAAATGAATCTAATATACTGCACTGTTTGCTGACTTGGCTTTCAAAAAAGATACATAATTTATTAACCAACTTGTTTTCATTGTAAGTAGAAAGATCTATAGATTTTATATAAAATAGAGGCCTGGTGCACGAAATTCATGTACTGATAGGGTCTCTAGGCCTGGCTGGCGATCAGGGCCGATTGAGGTCTTCCAGGTGGCGGCTGGGGCTTTCCTTCCCTAGCTGCAGGCTGCTGGCTGGGGCCTTCCTTCATTCCACACCTCCTCCTGGTGGTCAGTGCACATCATAGCAAGTAATCAAACTCCCAGTCTCCTGGTTGAACTTCTGAGGGGACACTTTTCATATTAGCCATATGCACGGGGGTTGGGAGGTCCCCTCAGCCCAGCCTGCACCCTCTCCAACCTGGGACCCATCGGGGGATTTCTGACTGCCAGTTTAGGCCCAATCCTGGGGACAGTCGGACATCCCTCTCACAATCCTGGACTGCTGGCTCTTAATCGCTCACCTGCCTGCCTGCCTGGTTGTCCCTAACTGCCCCCCCCACCCCCGCCAGCCTGATCACCCCTCACTTCCTCTGCGTGCTGGCAGGATCACCCTCAACTGCCCCCTCCCTGCTGGCCTGGTAGCTCCTAACTGCCCCCTTCCCCACTGGTCTGGTTGCCCCACACAGCCTGCTATTCAGTCATTTGGTGGTCCCTCACTAACGCCCCTGCCAGCCTTGTCACCCCACGCAGCCTGCTTGTTCAGTCATTTGGTCATCTCTCACTAATTCCCTGCCAGCCTGGTCATAGGCAGCCATCTTGTGAGTACGTGAGGGTTACTTTGTATATTACTTCTTTATTATATAGGATAGATTTCAGTTGTGTGGAATGTTTGCAGCTAAGCTTTAATACTAATAAAAATACTTTTCTTGTAAACATTGTTATTTGAAATATTAAAGGAACACCCATTAGATCTGAATAGTTTAGGAAGCTAATACTTTCTAAAGCCTTTCTGAAACCATCTCAGCACAATTTCAATAATTAAGGTACATCTCTCCTCAGTTGACTGCAGCTTTGTTGTCCTGGGAACTTAAGTCACACTAGGAATTGCCCTCAAATTCTGATGATGGTATCTTCAAAGTTAAATACCTTCACAAAATTAGACATCTTCATGATACATGCAAAATCTGACCACTTTTCACCAGCTCCATGCATCCACCCTGGTCTGAGCCACCATCATCACTCACTTGGATTAGTACATAACTTCACAATAGATCTCAATGTTTCCACCTTACCACCTTATGTCTGTTCTCAATAGAGCAGAAAGAATGATCCTTTTAAAAAATTAAGTCAGACCATGCCACACTTTTTGCACAGAATATTCTAAAGTACCTTCATTTTAGTCAAATTTAAATTCCTTAAAATGGCCTATGAGATACAAGATCTGGCTCATATTGGACCTTCCACCCCACTTACTCTATTACTCTATCTTTTGCACATATCATCCTGTGAGTGGAGAGCCAAATAAGAGCTTACCCACAGGAAATTAACACGAACAATGTTGTATCCCTGCTGTTATGACAGTGCCTGGATCAAAGCAGACGCTCAAAAAAGCATTTATTGAGCCCTGGCCGGTGTGGCTCAATTGATCAATTGATTGAGCTCCATCCAGTGCACTGAAAGGTCACCATATTGATCCCTGGTCAGGGCACATGCCCAGGTTGTGGATTCAATCCCCCATCAAGGTGTGTACAAGAAGCAACTGATCGCTATTTCTTGCATTGATATTTCTCCCTCTCTCCTTCTTCCCCTCCTCTCTCTCTAAAAATTGATGAAAACATATTTTTTTAAAAAGGCATTTATTGAGTGAAGTGAATAAAGGAGTAAACAATTTTTCTCAAACAATAAGCATATATAAGTATCTTGGGCCTATTACAAACAAGACTGAAAGAAGTACTCTATTCTGTGCTGGACTCTCAACAGAGCAGCAAGAACGTGCTCTCTGAGAGGAATTGAAAGCCTCATTTAGTCCCAACCTGTAAACACATCCTGCAATATCCTTCAGGTCTCTTCTGCTTCAGTAACCTGGAAGGACACACATTCCAGATGGTATAGCTCCCAGATGGAGGAAGGATAGCCAGCCAGTTCTAGTCTTTGGATATTTAAGAAATAATCCATTATCACATTAACTCACTGAAATTTAGAGATTTATTACCACAGCACAACTTGGCTTATTTTGACTAATAGACCTTTAAATCTATTTCCAATCTGCCACCTGAACTATTTACTGTTTATTTATGTTTATATGGCTCTCCTATCTATAGCTCTATAATCCCATTCATTCATGGGACTAAGTCCAAACTTTGCCACATCCAAAAGCCCTCCAAGAGCTGAGCTCTGACTATCTTTTCTCATTTCAACCTCGTTTCCACTTTATATTCTATGATTCAGCATACTAAACTTGCTGATGCCTTTGTCTACGTTGTCTTTGGATCCTTTTAAGTTGCTTCACCTTCTCAAGCCTCCTCATGGCTAACTCTAGCTCATCTGAACTGTTCGGTCAGAAAGCCTTTAGGACCTCTCCTACCTGAATTAGGTGTTCCTGCTCTCAGTGCCCACAATACACTGATATATCATCACCAGTGCGCTCATGCTTAATTTATAAGGTACATAAAGTAATATCTGTTTTACCTATCTTTCCAAGTAGACTGTGAGTTTCAGCTTTGTAGCCCCAATGTTCAGTTATGTGCCTGACACAGAATAGGGTTGATAAAATAATTCACAAAAAATAAATTTTATAAAAATAGCTTTATGTTGCTTAGTTATTTAGTATCCTTCAACAACTCCACTTGCAAACCTGTGGTCTAGAACTTGATCTCTGATCAAAAGTTTAAATTCCAACTCTACTGCTTATTAGTTCTGTGGCATTGGATGAGCTACTTAGCCTCTTCACGTCTCACTTTCTTCATTAAGACATATTTTTAATATTCATGCTACTTCTGTTTTATCTGAGTTTTCTCTAGATGATTTAATGCCTGAAGCCCAAAAATAAGAATTTCAGGGTTGTTAGACACAGTATAATTCTGATTATTTAAATGGAGAAGCATACTTTCTCCAAAGAGGTTGTGAAGAGCCAGA